ACCTTTGCAGGCCTAGCACGCATCACAAGGCCTAACACACAGGAAACACTAAATCATACCACATTTGTTACAACGCATGTGTCTGTGCTTGTTTTCTTTTTGGATTTTCCTCAGACCTAGCACAATATTATAGTAATACTAGGCGCCCAGAAAATGCAAGAACAGTAATATGCAATTGATTTATTCTAGAAAACTTGCAACTTTTCTCCCTCTATCTCTGACCCTCTGATAATACACACACACACACACTCACACACACATACACACATACACACTCACTCACTCACGCTTTCTTTTTTCCTAACTATGAAGTAAGTATGTTCAAGGCAAAAAACCTGGGGGTAAAAAAATCCACACATCAAAAAATAAAAACCACTCAATCCCAACACTCCAAAATATGGTCTCTGTTATTATTCTGTGACAGAAAGTTTTCAGGTTTTTTTCTATGCCTGCATATACATGTTCGTAGTTTTCTAAACAGTCAAATAGATTTATACTATATAAACAGTTCAACAGTCTGCCTTTGTCATTTAGAAATATATTACAAACATTTCCCCATGTTGAGTAATATTTTTTCAGCACATGATTTTTTTAAACTTAGATGATGCTCCGTTACATGAATATTTATGATTCATTTAACTGGTCCCCTATTGTTTAACTAGAACATGGGGCTATTTTTCAAATCCCTCACTATTATAAACAAGTGAAGAACTTTATATCTCCATCACTTCCTTATGAATTATTCCTAGAAATAGCTATAAAATACAAAAGGTTCCTACAATGTGATTTATTTAAATAAAACTAATAATAAAATTGGGCAAAAGAGGATATGCCTAGGCAATTCACAGAGAAAAAACAATCCGAGTGTCTAATGAGGATGCTCAATACACTGTAGTCAGTGGGATGAAAGTGAACAGGCAGAGAGGTCCAGTAGGGCGCACTGGAGAGCAGTGAGTGACCGAACACAGCACAGTACAGGCAGGGCGGGGTGAAGACAGGTGGCTGGGCTCAAGTCACAGCTCTCTCCTTACCAGCTCCCTAACTTTGGGAAGTTTACTTCACTCTAAACCTCAGTGTCCCCCTCTGAAGATGAGGCCAGTAATAATACACACCTGATAGGGTAGGGCTACTATGGGGCTTATACACTATGGCCTACATGAAACACTATCCATGGCACTGTGTCTGGAATGTAAAAGTGCAACACTGTTATTCTTTTATTTGATTCTAAGCCTACACCCTTAGAATTATATTCTCTGATGATTAAAACAATAACCTTTATTATACACTTAACTCTCCAAAAGAAAACTGTCATGAAAAATAGTGATTTTACAAACAATAATAAAGTGTAGAGAACTTTATTTAAAGTTTGATAAATTTATCAAAGAACAACAAAAAAAAGTAACACAGATATTATAATACTTCTCACCTATAACATTGCCAAATATTAAAGAGTGATCATTTCAGGGCTAGTGGGAACAGGGGTAGGACAGAACATTCTCATACACTGGGGATGGAATTATGACCATTTCAGACCAGTGCTATCCAACAGAACTTTCTGTAGTAATGGAAATATCCCTTGATCTGCACTGTCCAATATGGTAGCCACTGGCCATGTGTTGCTACTGAGTACTTGAAATGCAGCTAATGTGACTGAGGAACTGAATATCTAATTTTATTTCATCTTAATCAATTTAAACTTAAATAGCCACACGTGCTAGTGGCTACTACATTGGGCAGCATAATTCTAGAAGGCAATCTTAAAATGTCTAGATGGTTTTAAAATACATACATCCTTTGTCCCACTTTTGGTAATCTATTCCATAGCAATAAAAGTATTATGGAATGGGGGTGAGGAAAACAAACCAAAATAAGAAATATTTACGTCTAGAAAAAGATATTCACAATCATAAAGAAAATACGTAATTTCATTTATTTAAACATATATATGTCAAAAAATAAATTTGAAAAAACCTAGCACAGAGATTTAATATAAGAAAAAAGTATATATGTCTGTTTACACATGGACAGAGATACATGGAAGGATGCCCCTAAAATTTTTATAACATTATCTCTGATGGTAGGATTTTTAGGTAATTATTACTTAATTTGTTAAATCTTTTTATAGTTTGAATTTCTTATGACTATGTATTATTTATATAATCAGAAAAAGAAAACATTAAAATATTTTCATTTGGGAAAAAAAATACCATAAAGGCATTACTGGATCAAAGGATAAACTAGTTTTAAGGCTTTTTTATATATACATAGCAAAGTTGCCCTCTAGAAAGGATGCCCCAATTTCAGCAACCAACTAGCCAGCTCCTCACACACACACCCTTACCAACAGCAAGCACTATAATTTTTTCACCTTTGCCTATTTAACAGGTGAAAAATTGTAACTCTTTTTAACTTGAATTTAATTTATTACTAGTGAAATCGCACACTTGTTCACTCGCTAGTTATTTGTATTTCTTTTAGAATAGCATGTTCATATCCTTCGACTTTTTCAAAATTAGGGTGTACATCTTTTCTCATTAGTTTGTAAAAGTTCTTTATATATTAAGGTTATCAAACCTGTCCTTTTATTTACATTGCAAATATTTTCCCTCTTTGTCATTTGCTTTGTTACTTTGTATCTTATCTTTTTAATATGGAGAAGATTTCAATACTTATATAACTAAAACCTATTCATTTTCCTTTTATGTTTTCTGCCTTTGGTCATATACTTTAAAGAATCCATCTCCATTCCAATTCCTCCAGGCCTTTGCCCAACAAATGCTAACATCAGAGACAAACATTCTAATTACTTGAACTGGTCATATAAATAGGTGTACTCTGTACAAGTGCTGTGGGGATGCTAGTATCCTCCCTATTACTTGTATACTGGACATTTCACTTTCAAGTTCCTCAGAACACATTAATCAGAGATTAACTTGCTGCCTCCAGATTTGGTACTAGCTGTGCTTCTGGCCTAATCATAAATTCTTCTCAGAAGTACATAATACACCTTCAATTACTTCAACAATTCTTTGAATTAGTTTAAGATTTGAAGTTTCTTTAGTGGGGAGGGAATGGTTGGACAAAGCCCAAGGTTTATGACAAGCCCTTTTTTCCCTTTTTTAAGTCCTGGAAGAAACATATACTATTGGCCAAAACCAAAAAAATAAGTGCAAACTAAGGACTTCCTTGACCCTGTGTCGATAAACTAGGTAATCACACCCCTAGGTGTTTATAATCTAATTAAAAGACAAAAATGTCAATGCCAGAGAGGGCTTAGAAATTACTTGGAGTTCAACCACCCCATTTTATAGAGTAGGAAGCAATACCCTAGGGGGATAAAGTGACTTGCCCAAGGTCATACCAAAAGGTAGTAAAAAGACTCAAATGTTTAGTCCGGAAGACTAGAGAATAGTACAAAGATATGAAAGGACAGAAAGAAAACACATTTCTGATACACAAAGTGGAAAAGCTCAATGACTGATTAAACTTAGCTGTTTATGGAACCACTATTGAGTCCTCTATGACAGCAACTCTCAAAATTTCATCTACACAAGCTCCACATAAATACTCTGAGGAGAGTTCCTGAAGCAAATGAAAATAAATGGAAGAGACCACGAATTCCCAGTATTCCAGCATTCCCTGGCCTCCAGGTCTCTCGCCCATAGAAAGATATAAATGCAGCTTAATCTGAGATATTTTAGCCTTCATGTGCATTTATTATCATCCTCACTACTTATAAAGATGCTGCCCAGGGACTTCCCTGGCCATCCAGTGCTTAAGACTCTGCGCTCCCACTGCAGTGGGCACGGGTTTGATCGCTGGTGGGGGAACTAAGATCCCACACGCCACGCAGCGCGACCAGAAAAAAAAAAAAGGCACCGCCAGGCATATGATACTATTGAAATGATTTGGGGTAAGGAGAGTGAGATTTTTGATATCACATGAAAACTCCTTGTCTCCAGCTTGGAGAATTTGGTAACATAAAAGGAGTTCAGCACAGACAACTCCATATTACAAATAACAAATTAATTATTTAAAGGTACATGTGAACATTAAAATATCAGACAGAAAGTTATGCATCCTGTAAGTTTAATGGGGGAAATAAATTTTGAAGTGGGCTTAAAGAGTGGGTCATGAAATCAAATCAGGGGTGATGACCAGCATTTTTTTTTCCAAAATGCAATGAAAGAGAAATACCAGAAAAACTGTACATAGGAAGATTAAGTACTGTTCTGTAAAACTTTTGTTTCAATTTTATCTGTGTGTGTTTACTGGAATGTAATACAAAATAGATTTTTTTTTTTACTGTGAGTGACTTTCAAAAGAGTATGAGGAACAAGTTTAAATGAACATATGCATATAGGTGTGTGTGCATGATTTATATATATATACATATATGCCAAATAGACTTTTATCCCTATTAAAGAGTTCGATGGGACACGTCAGTATGGGTAAAGCTTGGATTATACACAAATCTTATTAGAGCCCTCCTTAATCAGGAGTCTTGAAAGGAGTGAGGGAAGTGAAAGGATGGATGGATGGATGGATGGATAGATGAATGAGAATCTGGCTGTTCAGGTACTTGTTTTTATCCTGTTCTCTACCGGAAACATCCTCAGCTTCCTTCCTTCTACTAGATAGAGTCAAGAGGTCCTAAATACAAAATAATGTGACTTCGAGGATTTGCGAATGTGCACAGGAAACAAGGGGACGCAGCACGCCTGTGCCAGCAGCCCCCGAATAGGGATGTTTGGCGCATACTTCAAACAAGTGAAAAAGAAATAATTTCTGTATTTCGTCTCTTCCTTTCCTCAGAACCACTGTGAGAATGGGCTAAAGAACATTTCAGGACAGTAAAGCCAGCTGTTTACCCAGAGAATGCGAGCGCCATCGAGATTACTGAGACCAGAAAGCACCCCCGGGGACGTTTACTCGAACGCTTCGGTCAGGATAAGCCAGAGAAAATTCCCACCCTATACATCCACGTCCCGCCCCCTCACCATTTGCATCGCCTGTTCCATCCACTTTTCGGTCTCCTCCGCCAACACAGAGCACGCGCCGCCCGTAATCTGCGTGGACCCTACCTTCGCCTCCATACTGCACCGGGGCAGCCTCGCGCAGTGCCGGAGGCCGCGGCGGCGGAGGAGCGCTGGCAACGGAACGCGGTGGGGGCGGGCTGTCGTTTCCGGGGGAATCGAACTGTGAGGCACTCGGGAGCGAATTCTAGACGGACCACGGCGCCTCAGGCCAGTGAGCGGCGGCGGCGGCGGCGCGCCGGCAGCAACAGAAACCGCTGCTGCTCAGCTACAGTCTCCGCCCCCTTCCCACTCCGGTGACAGTCTCTGCGGAAAGTCGCGTTCGTGGTTTTTGGAGAGCAACGAGTGGGACGACGGCGGTCCAGCCGGGTAGTCCGTGCCAGGCGACGAAGAAACGTTTTCCTGGTGAACCATTCCTCCTTCCCTTTAGGCAGCCCGCACCCCCAGGGCCTGAAGATGCTGAGATCTACGTGGAATTTTCTGAAACGTCACAAAAAGAAATGCATCTTCCTGGGTACGGTCCTCGGAGGTGGGTGACAGCGTTCTTGGAAAGGGGCATAGGGAGGAGGGGGTGGGAGAGAGATGTCTGCCTTCTAAAATAGAGGTGATGGCCCAGGATTCGTTCAACCATGGGACGGGGAACCGGGTGACAAACCTCCAGGGTTCTTTACATCCCTGCAGTTGTGAAATTTGTGCCCTTTGCCCTGATACTGCCGCTTACTCTGTTTCTCGCCTTTTACTCACCCACCTTGGGAGAACCCACCACATTTTTTTTTTTTTTTTCTGTTTCAAGGCACCGTTCTCTTACATATTTTTTTACTTCTCTTCTATTGTTTTACTGTGAGGTTCTTCGTTTCTGTTTGGTACTTCCAGTACTTTGGCATTCACCGTTCGCAGAAGTTTCATAATACTCGAGGGAAGTTAACTAAAGCCTGCACTTCGAGTTCTTGTTTAAAGTTAAATTGAGTTTTTGAAAACAGCACAATTGTACTGAAGGACTGGAAGGTATATGCTAGACAAAGAAACACAAATCAATATTTTAGCTCTGTTTCAGCTCTTTTAGAATACAAACTATGTAGTAAATTATGCAATAAGAAAGTGCTTTCGGGAAGTTGTGCAATCTTCTCAGGATCTTCAAGATTGGGATGAATTCCCACCTAGCTCACATAACTGAGTTGCACAGGCTGAGAGGAGATTTAGAAACAGATTAGATAGCAATCTTGAGAGCCTTTTTCCTCATAAGACAATCATGCAGGGGTCTAAAGGAGAGAATAAAAGGTCTTGTGTGATACAGGAGAAGGAAATGTAGGACTGTTAAGAGGAAATTTTTAGCATTTGAGTTTTTGGAGAAGTATTATCACTGACTACATGCTTTGGTTACAGAAATAGTTAAAAACAAGAGAAGTTTCCCAAAGAATTTGGTTGTTTTTCTCTTACTATTGATTATATTCTGTTGCCCCAAAACAATTTGAAATTAGCAATACTCTTAGCATCAATAATTCAGCTCTGTTGATTCTTGAAAATTTGAAACAGGCTTCTTGTTAATGAGGCAAGGAGAATGTTTTTCTCCTCTCTGAGGTCTACCACAGATCAATAATGATTATATGTAAATTTTTTTTTTTTTGCCGTACGCGGCCTTCTCACTGTTGTGACCTCTCCCGTTGCGGAGCACAGGCTCCGGACACGCCGGCTCAGTGGCCATGGCTCACGGGCCCAGCCGCTCCACGTCACGTGGGATCTCGGACTCTCAACCACTGCGCCACCAGGGAAACCCTCGATTATATGTAAATTTTAATGGCATTCTTTGAAAAATTCTTTATAGATAAAATATATTTTCTAATATCTTCATGCACTGATATCTAATGTATATTTAAATTACACAAAGACTACTGAGTCCACTTTATTTGTAGAAACTAATGATTTATGTGTGATGGAAGAAGTATAAATAAAATATTTTTGCCTCTACTGAAGGAAAGAAAATAGTATCTCTTTAGCTATCTCAGAAAAAATAGCATACCCCGTCAGATTTATGGAACAACCTAATGGTAGATTAGATATAATCATAGGGGAAGCAAAAGAGTACACTTAAGAGACAGTTATAGGTATGATGAATTGGGAGATTGGGATTGACATATATACACTAATATGTATAAAATGGATAACTAATAAGAACCTGCTGTATAAAAAAATAAATAAAATTCAAAAATTCAAAAAAGAAAGATAGTTATAGATTTTTTTCAAAAATCTATTGAGAGCTTTATAGTTAGAGATTAAGAGGAATGAGAAAGGGGGGAAGAGGTTCAGAGGAACAGAAAAAGAAAATAATCCTAGTGTTTTATAACAAGAATGGATGTCAGTCTAAAAAGAAAAAAGAGTAGATGACCATGATTGGCATTTGTTTGAGCCTCATAGTCTTTCTGCTTCAAGGGAAAGGTCCTATAACATGGTACATATCAGTTAATCAATTTTAAGAAATATTTATCCAGTGCCTGTAGTGTTGAAGGTAATATGATTGGAAATACAAGATTTACAGAGATTTTTAATAGTAATAGCTACCATTTTGTGGGTGCCCAATGGGCCCTGTATTAAGCTCTTCTATTCAGTGGGGATGATGACAGGATAGTTATTGTTATCCCCATTCAAAAATGTGGGAACCAGAGTGCTAAGAATTTAAAAACTTGTTGAGGTTCCCAGAGTTAGGAACAGGGAAGCTAGAACTCAAACCCAGGTGTGTTAGATCCCGAAGCACATTCTCTTTCCACAGTACACCACTCTTGTCTTCATGGACTTTATGGTCTAAAAGGAATGAAAACAAATGACTTAGTTTGTTCAGGCTGCTATAACAAATACCACAGACTGGGTGGCTTATAAACAACAGAAATTTATTTCTCCCAGTTCTGGAGTCTGGAAGTCTAAGGTCAGGGTACAAGCATGGTTAGGTGAAGGTCCGCTTCGGGGTTGCAGACTTCTTGTAGTCTCACGTGGCAGAAGGGGCTAGGGATCTCTGTGAAGGCCCTTTGATAAGAACACTAATCTCGGGCTTCCCTGGTGGTGCAGTGGTTGAGAGTCCGCCTGCCGATGCAGGGGACACGGGTTCGTGCCCCGGTCCGGGAGGATCCCACATGCCGCAGAGCGGCTGGGCCCGTGAGCCATGGCCGCTGAGCCTGCGCGTCCGGAGCCTCTGCTCCGCAGCGGGAGAGGCCACAACAGTGAGAGGCCCGCGTACCACAAAAAAAAAAAAACCACTAATCTCATTCTTGAGAGCCTCACCGTCATGCCCTAAGTGCCTCCCAAAGACTCCCACCTCCTAATACCATCACATAGGGCATTAGAATTTCAACATATGAATTTAGGGGAGACACAAACATTCAAACCACAGCAAGAAGCATACAAATAATTAAAATACAAAACAATAAGACTTGAAAAATGCTGTATATATCAAACTGGCAGATAGCCTGTGCAGTTGGAAATAATTAGGAAAGCGCTTCATGGAAGAAGTAGCACATTTTGACAGATTTGCAAACTAGGTAAGATATCAACTTGCATGCTCAAGAATCTTGGCCATTCAGTGGTGGGGAAAAAACTAATGTTTGGTCTCTTTGGTTTTTCATTCATTCAACAAACATTTGAATTAGAGGGACTACTCTCTCTATATTGGGCTCTGGTGATACACAGGAATAAGATACAATTCTTGACCTTGAGGAACTCATAGTGCAGTCCAGAAAGCAGAAATGGAAATAAACAAAAGTAGTACAGTGATAGTATTAGAGTACCATAATAGAGCAGGGTTCTGTGGGAGCATAGAGAGAGAGAATAATGGAGGTGTTCAGCAAGCCTCCCTTAAGAATCCACTGGAGGGACTTCCCTGGTGGTGCAGTGGTTAAGAATCTGCCTGCCAATGTAGGGGACACAGGTTCGATCCGTAGTCTGGGAAGATAACACATGCCATGGAGCAACTAAGCCCACAAGCCACAACTACTGAAGCCCGCGTGCCTAAGAGCCCATGCTCCGCAACAAGAGAAGCCACCGCAATGAGAAGCCCACGCACCACAATGAAGAGTAGCCCCCACTTGACACAACTAGAGAAAGCCCGTGTGCAGCAGCGAAGACCCAACGCAGCCCAAAATTAATCAATTATTTATTTATTTATTTTAAAAAGAATCCGCTGGAGTTACAGCTAGCAAAGTAGAAGGGGGCACAACAGGTAAAGGGGTTGCTCAGCAGATTCAGAGACCTTGTTTTTGGTGAATCAAAGTGTATTTCACTATGGCTAAGTGCAAGGAACAAATGGGGAGTGGCAAAAGATAAATTTGGAGAAGTAGCTAGAGTGCAGATTGTGAAGGGCCTTCCTTATTGTGCCATTCTACAGAATTTGGAGCTTCTCAGACTTTAGTATGGATAAAAATCACTGAAGGGACTTAATGAAAATATAGAATTCTTTCTCCGAGATTCTGATTCTTTAGGTCCAGAGTACAGTTCATTAATTCTTTAATTCATTCAACAAATATTTATTGAGCTCCAATTGTGTACCAATATTATATATTGGGGGTACAGCATCATATAAGACAAAACATTTGGGGATGTTTTCAAGGAACTTCCTTAAAGGCTACTTTTTTTTTTTTTTGCGGTACGCGGGCCTCTCACTGTTGTGGCCTCTCCCGTTGCGGAGCACAGGCTCCGGACGCGCAGGCTCAGCGGCCATGGCTCACGGGCCCAGCCGCTCGGCGGCATGTGGGATCTTCCCGGACCGGGGCACGAACCCGCGTCCCCTGCATCGGCAGGTGGACTCTCAACCACTGCGCCACCAGGAGAGCCCCAAGGCTACATTTTTAACAAGTACCCCATCAGTAATTCTGATGTAAGTGGAACAGGGACTGTACATTAAGAAATGATGGCAGGGTGTTGAAGAATTCTAAATATGGCAGTAGTACAGTCAGATTTAAGTTTTAGAAAATCACTTTGCATATAAAAGATGGATTGGAAAGGTGTGAGACCAGAAACAAAGGAGAGTTAGGAAGCTGTTAAACCTGTTCAAGAGCATTAATAATCTGGGTCTGAATGAAGACAGTGGTAGAGAAGTGGACTAAAGTGGCAAAGTTTAGAAAATATTTCTGAAATAGAATAGAAGGGTTTGGTGGTCTTTTGTATGGGAGTGAAGTTAATAGATTATTTTCAAACCCTTATTGACGTTATTAACCTAGTAAAATAGTTATACTGAAGGATTTTCATCCATTAAGGCACTAAGTGATGGTTTTAGAAAACCAAATTCGTAATATGGGAAGGCTAGAAGATATTTTGCTTTACCAGCAGTGTTCTGAAAGGAAACGTCAAAACATTTTACATTTATTCTTTGAGATATTTAGTGAATGTTTTCATTATTCATAAATAAAGTCATAGCTAAAGAAGAAACTTTAAAGCTCATATAATCCCAGCCTTTCATTTTATGAAGAAATTTAGACCCAGAGAGAGGAAAGACTTGCTTAAAGTTACCTGCCTAGTTGGTGCCACAGCCATCAGTATGTACTCTCTTCTGGGCCAAACTTCAGGCAGCAAGTTAGGTGTATCCTGAACTCCACATTTTAGGTAATGAATTCTCTGCCTTCATTCTTACTTCTGTAGGGAAACAAATCAGACAAAATCAGAATTTATGAATTTTGCAAATGAGAGCCTGGGTAAATTAGTCCTTGTATAGGAATTTACTTCAGTGCTAACTCGAGGAAAATAATGGATTGTGGGATTTTAGCCTAATGCCTTGTATCAGTTTGCTAGGGCTGCCATAACGAAGTACCACAAACTGAGTTGCTTAAGCAACAGAAAGGTATTGTCTCTCAATTTTGGAGGCCAGAAATCCAAGATCAATGTGTTGGCAGGATTTGTTCCGTCTCAGGGCTTTAAGAGAGGATCTGTTCCAGGCCCTTCTCCTTGGCTTGTAGATAACTTTCTCCTCCCTGTGTCTTTACATCATCTTTCCTGTACACATGTCTATGTCCAAATTTCCCGTTCTTATAAGAACACCAGTCGTACTGGATTAGGCCCACCTTAGTGACCTCCTTTTAACTTGATTATCTCTGCGAAGACCCTATCTCCAAATAATGTCACTTTCTGAAGTACTAGAGCTTCAACATGTTAATTTGGGCTAGGATACACTTCAACCCATAATAATTTATCTTTTAGCTTTAGTAAGAATATATTACATTTACCAAATTAAACACAGTACAGTTAGTTGACCCTTGAACAAAACAGGTTTGAACTGCACAGGGCCACTTACACAATACATTTGACCTTTGAACAACTCAGATTTGGACTGTGCAAGGCCACTTATATGCAGACTTCTTTCAGTAAATACTGCAGCACAACAGATCCTCGGTTGAATCCAAGGGCACAGAACTATGAATTGAGCCCACTGTAAAGTTACAAGCAGATTTTCCACTTCTGAAGGGAGTGTTCTGCACCCCTATCCCTGGAGTCGTTCAGAGGTCAACTGTAGTTCCTAAAGTGTTTTTGTCAGACACTGTTGAAAATCTAATGAAAGCAGTGGACCTTCTCCCCAGGAAAACACATAGACCAATCAAATTTACTATTATTCCAGAAAATTCTTAACTATACAAGGGGTGTCATTGCAGCATTTCATTTTACGCTATTATTATTATTTGAGAAATAATAATCATTTTACACATAACTTTTAGCCATCTGTTGTGCAAATAAAATAGAAGCAATTCATTGAGAAGTAGTTATTATCTAAGAGTTGCCTGTCAAAGGGTTACTTCGTGAAACGTAAGTCAGTTGCTTCATTCTGTTAGTATTATGGCGCTGTCTTCAGTTTATTGAGGATGAATTACAAGAAAGGTAGCTCTGAAGACATTTATATGAATTTTTATTTATTCTTTAAGGAGATTGTAATACATTTTTTGCATCTAGACCTAACAGCAGTCACACTTTATTTCTAATTATTTGTAGCACATACTCTTTCAATGTCTTTTTAAGACATATAACATGTTATCAGTTCATCTGTATTGCTTACACTAGTGAAAATAATTCAGGATACGTGTTTGCTTTGCAGTTCTTAGTGGGCTTCCTCCTTCCCACCTGTGACAAACAGACCAAATCCAGTTATTTCGGTCATGTACAATTCTTATGTTCTTTCTTGTTATATTGGAGGCTACAGACAGTTGGAGGTAGGTGAGGATTAGTTATTCTCCTACAGCCTTGTTGCCAGGTTATCATGAAACAAATTCTGGCTCACATTAAAACATCTATTATCAAGGATAGATAAAACAGTATCATAACTTGTTCTATAAGCTCATTGAAATCCCATTGTCCTTTCTTTGTGCTACAACAGCACCATGCATAAACGATTTACCCAAAGCAAATGCAACAGTATTCTAGATGTAGGATTCTGCTGGCCATGTGGTTAACCCTCTTGACTAAGAATCCTTCGAACTAGCAGCTGAGGATCCGAGACTAAGCCATTCCTAAGGGTTAAGGACTTTCTCGTATATTCTTGTTCAAATGAATATTACTAAAATGTTTCAGCTAACCCAGTATCTTAAACACCAGTCATTTAATCTGTGAAAAGCCATTTCTGATATTCATTTTGCTAGGTTAGTTGAAATGCTTAAACCTTGAACTATGGCTTTTGATCAAATGCTAACTAACCACGCTGGAGTGTTAACATTCCCAGTCAGGACAACTGAATGCCTATAAGGTATGACCAAAATGTGCACATTTTATATTATACTGTCTATACTGAAATGTGTTAAAGTAAATTACAGGCTGTAAGACCCCACCTATATTTTTATATCATAGTGTCATAATTTAGGAATTTTTGTACCCTTTTCACCTTCCCTTTTTCACTTAAGTTTCTAGTTTTAGATGTCTGCTTGACAACCTACCTTCCTTTAATTCTTCCTTTTAAATTTTTTCTTATATTTTTAAAAAGTATTATATTTTGGTTGAAGAAAATGTGTAAACCATAGAGAAGCAAGAAGAAGGAAAAAAATCACCTGCTATCCCACTATTTAGCAATGATCATTGTTTAATATATGTAAGAAATTAAAATCCATCTGTTGTCATATATGTTTATTTACATTAAAAAGCAAAACTTCTAGGATCTTATTTTATCCTCTAACACTATAACATGGATGTTTCCTTAAGTCATTAACTATTTAGCAATGTAGTTTTTAATAGCTACGTAAGAGTCCATTGTATGGCTAGACCATAATGTATTTAAACAGTTCCCTTTTGCTGGACATTTAGAATATCTCCAGTTCACTATTAAAGGCTTGGCCTTACTTTGTAGATTTAATTCCTTTCTGTTTCTTTAGACCTAGTCTTTATGTACCCATCTATCATTGGCTTTTAAAATGCCAGTCTCCTTTTCCTTCTCTTCAGGTTGCAATTCTTATACAGTTCTTTAATTTAGGTTCTTAAAAGTTGTAATTTTTAGCTTTTCACTAATATAAGCCTCATATTTGGATAAAGTGGGTTAAAAATACTGTTTAGAATTTTTAATACTCTAATTAACTGCATTGATATACTAACTTGTTTTAAAAAATAATTTTAGGAATATATATCCTGGGGAAATATGGACAGAAGAAAATCAGAGAAATACAAGAAAGGGAGGCTGCAGAATACATTGCCCAAGCACGACGACAATATCATTTTGAAAGTAACCAGAGGACTTGCAATATGACAGGTAAGACAAAGAGAACTATTTATACATGTATAAAGTTGCTTGATGATTTATATTAATTTGCATACCTCCAGGACCAAAGTTAGAGGAAAAGGCAAAAATGCTAAATCTAGCAAGTATTTACATGATTTAACTGAAATACATCGTTTAATGTGGATTTGGAAAATCAATGTAAATTAATATGCAACATAGATGCTTGTTCATTCATTTTATTTATTCATTCAGCAAATACTCAACAGTACTCAGCACTGGGGAAACAGAAGGTGAACAATTTGGTCAATTTTGTGAAAAAACAAAAACCTGACCTTCAGAGTTTATTCACTAGTGAGAGAAGAAGCTGATAAACAACAGATAAATGACTTTAGGCAGTGATGACTGCTTACAAGAGAATGAGCTGTGTGAGGGGTGGGGTGCTCTTTAAGGTGGGGCAACCAGGAGTCAGACCTCTTTAAGGAAGTGACATTTTGAGGAGAAATTAAATGATACAATGGAGGGAGCCATACAAAATGCTTGTGGTGGGAACAAGCTTGGCATATTTGAGAAATAGCGAAAAAGGCTGTGTAGTTAGAGTAGCATGAGCAATGGAAGAAGAGTGATAGGAGACAGGGCTGCAGGAGTGGGCCTGATGCCATTGGGCCATGTATGTCATAGTAAAGAATTTCTTACATTAACAAGGCACCTAGAGACCTGTAAGTCTAACACAATAGTATACACTCAGTGTTAATCAGTGGTAATAATTTAATCTCCAGAGCTAGAAACCTACTGGGAAGATGCTGTAACAAAATCAGCTGCCCATATTTGAAGAAAACAAGGTGTTACGTTATAATTGGCATAACTCCTTGAAGAATGAGTTCTCAAATCCATGTCAAACTTGTTTTTCTTTGTTATTGTTTGAAGCTTAATGCTTTTCTACCATTTCTTTCAAGAACAATTAATTTAGAAAAAAATTTATAAAGGTGGGTTCTCTTTGTTCAATTTTAAAAGTAGAATATTTTTTCAAGGTTGGAAGAACTTTGTTTTTAGTTCAGTCTCATTTGATAAAGAGGCTGGGATTAAGAAGGTTAAGAGACACATTGCATTTCAGCTGGAGTATGATTTTTTTTTTTTTTTTTTTTTTGTCTGTGCCATGCGGCATGCGGGATCTTAGTTCCCCTACCTGGGATTGAACACGTGCCCCCTGCATTGGGAGCGCAGAGTCTTAACCACTGGACTGCCAGGGAAGTCCCATGATTTTTAATGTTTGAAATAATAATACTTCAATCTATAAAGCAAAAATTAATCATAAATGCTGTGTAAAATGGCAACTCAGATAAGGTACAGTAAGTAAGAGCACAGGCTCAAGGGTGAGGCAGATCTGGTTCCGTTCCTAGTTTTGCCTTGTAATATCTGTGTGTCTTTGGGCAAATCTAAATCTAGTTCTTTCCTCTATAAAATGATCATCATAAAACCCACTTCATAAATGTTTTATGAGAATGCAGTAATTCATATAAAGTGCTTGGTACATAATAAATACTCAGTAACATAATTTTTTAAAAATTACACAATTCTTTAAATCAATATTTAGCATTCAATGTAGTGGTACTACCAAGGACATTTTAATGAATTTTTAAAGAATAAGAGCAGTCCATTTCTTTTTTTTCTTTTCTTTTTGTTTAATTGAATGAAAAATTATTTAGTGCTTTACAGTTTTCAAAAGTTTCACATACATGATTTCATATAATCCCAAAATAATCCTTTTTTTTTCCTACCCCTGTACTGCCCCTGCCCCTTCCCTCTCCCCACTGTTAACCACTAGTTTAAGAACAGTTCATTTCCAGTTATTACTCAAATTTTCAAAAAATGAAAAATGCTGACTTCTGGGATCTCAAAATACATCTTAGTTTGACATGGACCCTTGTGTCAGTTTAGGTGCTCTGGGAAG